CACAAAGTAAATCTCAAGAAATTTAAAAAAATAGAAATCATACCATGTATCTTCTCAGATCACAATGAATAAGAGTAGAAATCAAACCCCTAAGAGAAACTCAACATTTTCTACAAAAAAAACATTGGGAAAAATTTAAACAACCTCTACTTAAATGATTACTTCATAAAATGAAGAAATCGAAAGACGGAAATAAAAAAAAATTCTATGGAAGAAACGACAATGGAAGAGACAATTATTTCAACTCCTTCTGGGAACACAGCTAAGCAAGTTCTGAGGGAGGAAAGTTATTCTTCCATAAATGCCTATTAATCAAAAGTCAAAAAGATCACAAAATGGACAATCTGCAGTGAAACGACTCAAAGAGCTGGGAAAAAGAAGAACAGACCAGCCCCAAACAGCAGAAGGAGTGAATCAACAAGTCAAAATCAGAACTAAGTGGAAATTGAAAAACAGGAAAGTTATTCAGGAGATTAAAACAAACCAAAAAGTTGGTTCTTTGAAAAAATAAACAAATTGGACACGCCAAGTGGCTAAAAGCTAACGAAAAGCAGAAAAGGAGAAATCTCTAATAAAGGGGCTCCATCAGGAAATAAAAAAGGAGATATCACAACCGATCCCAAAGAGGATACAAAGATATAATTTAATGAGTACTTACAAAGATATTATTACACACAAACTGGAAAATGGTGGAGGAATGGACAATTTTCTAGTGAAAACACACAAGCCCCCCCCTAGCTCATACCAGGAAAAAAATAGATTCCCTGAACAGACCAATCTCAACAGCTTGAAATAGACAGACAGCAATTAAAAATCTTCCCTAAAAAGAAAAGTCCCGGTGTTTGTCCAGATGGCTTCCCACCCGGAATTTTACCACACTTACAAAGAAGAATGAATACCTATTTTCAGAAAACTATTCCACAACATCGAGAAGAATGGAAACCTCCCTAGACACCTTTTATGAACGCGACAATATTACTCTGATACAAAACCAGGAAAGGATGCCAACAAAAAGAAAGATACAGACCAAGTTCCCTAATTGAATAAAGATGCAAAATTTTCGAAGAAATCGTAGCTAACCGAATCCAGACGCTTATCAAAAAATATAATTCCAGTGCATGACCAAGTGGCTCATCCCGAGGATGCCTGAGGGATGGTTCAACATACGCAAAATTCTATATAATGCAATTCATCCACATTAAAACGAAGCAAAAACAAAGAGCCCACATGATTCTCTCAAGTAAGATGCAGAAAAAGCTTTTGACAAAATTCAAGACACCCTTTCATGATACGAACACCTCAAGGAAAATTAGGCATAGACAGGGACATATCTAAAAATGATACAAGCCATTTATGAAGACCCAGGGTAGCTACACATACCTGAAATGGGGAAACAACTGAAAAGCATCACTTAGTGTTTCGGAAGACCGGAACCAGACAAGGCTGCCCACTATCTCCACTTGCATATTCACATGAGTACTGAGGAAGTCCTGGCTAGCAGCAATCAGACAGGAAAGGTGGAATGTAGAAGGTATCCAAGGTAGGGGGCAGAAAGAGATCAAAACTTTCACTGTTTGCTCGGAGATATGAGTATCATATATCTAGGAATACCCCAAAAGATTAACCAGGAAACTCTGGAACTGAGCTCAATGAATTTAGCAAGGAGTCCTCAGGATACAAGATCGACATACAAGAAATCAGAGGCATTCCGTACTTAGCCACAACAATCAAATCGCGAGGAACCAAAATTAAAGGACTCAATACCCTTCACAATAGCAACAAAAGAATTAAGAGTGACCTGGAGAGTATACATGTAACACAAGGAGGTAAAAAGACCATCTTAGAGGAGACTATGAAACAGGCTGAGGAAGGAAATAGGCCAGGATGTAAAACAGATGAATCCATTCCGGATCTCGTGGATCGCGAGGACTCGAATATCATCAAAATGTCTATAGCTACCCAAACTGCATCTACAGGATTCAATGCAAGTACCTATTAAGAAATCCCATCAGCATTCTTCCACAGAGGTATAGAAAAGAATAATTTTACGCTTGTATGGAACCAAAGAACGACCACCGGAATATAAAGAAGCCAATTCTAGCAACAAAAACAAAATGGAGGGTATATATGCCAGGATACAGAAAACTATGACTACAGCAAGCTGTAGTAATTAAGAACAAATCTGGTTTGGCACAAAATAGGTTATGACCAGTGGAACAGATTGTGAGAAATCCTGATTAAAAACGCATCCTACAGTAATAGCCATCTAATCTTTGGACAAAAGTAGACAAAAAACGTTACGCTGGGGAAAAGAAATCCTTATTCAATAAATGGTGCTGAGAAAAGAACTGGATAGCCACTTGTAAGTTAAATAGACCCCACACCTTTCACCTCTCACAAAATCAACGTCGGACGCGCTGGATAACAGACTTAAGATGCTCAGGTAATGAAACCATTCGATTCTGGAGGAAAATGTTGGAACACTCTTCCTAGACATCGGGCCTAGGCAAAGGAGTTATGAAGAAATCCCCAAAGGGCAAGCAAAGCAGCAACAAAAATAAGATAAATGGGACATGGATGAAACTACAAAGGCTATCTGCACAGCCAAAGAAACAGTCATGAAAAGTAAACGACCAACCGTCAGAGATGCGAGAAAATTTTTGTCATCCTATGTATCCGATAAAGAGACTGATACAATAGACAGTATACTTGAACTCACGAAAATCAGCAAGAAAATCAAATTGAAGCCCTATTAAAAAGTGGGCAAGGAGGAATGAACAGAAACTTTTCTAAAGAGAGCAGGCAAGAGATGAGCAACAATCATATGAAAAGAGATGGTCACCATCCCTAATCATCAGGGAAATGCAAATCAAAGACATACAGATGAGATATCACTAATGAAGAGCAACAGTGGAATGGCCTTTAATCAAAAAGCTCCGAGATAACAAAATGTGCTGTTGATGTGGGAGGAGAGGAACACTCCTGCTACACTGCTCGGGTTGGACTGCGGGAACTAGCGTTCAACCTCTGTGGAAGCATATGAGGATACCTTTAAAGCGAGTACAAGGTGATCTACCATTTGATCCAGGCAATCCCATTGCTGGCATCTACCCAAAATCGATCCAGTGACACTCTACAAATGACACTGCACTCGACATGTTTATAGCAGCACAATTCATAATTGCAAGGCTGTGGAAACAGCCCAAGTGCCCATCAATCCAAGAATGGATTAATAAAATGTGGTATATGTATACCATGGAGTACTATTCAGCTCTAAGAAACAACGTGATATAGCACATCTCTTACTTTCCTGGTGTAGAGCTGGAACCCCATACTACTAAGTGAAGTATCCCAGAATGGAAAAAACAAGCACCAGATATATTCTCCAGCAAACTTGGTATTAACTGGTAGCACCTAAGTGAACAACACAGGTGCTACAGTAATAGGGTATTGGAGCGTGGAGGGGGGAGGGGGGCGGGCTATATACATACATAATGAGTGAGATGTGACCATCTGGGGGGGATGGTCATGATGGAGACTCAGACTTTTGGGGGGAGTGGGGGAAATGGGCATTTATTGAAACCTTAAAATCTGTACCCCCATAATATGCCAAAATAAAAAAAAAATAAAAATAAATAAATACTTCTGTTAACAAAAAAAAAAAATATTCTGAAGCAATTATAAAAATAAAAAAAAAATACAACTCTAACAGCTGTTTGTTAAACTATGTATAAGTGGGCAAAAGTACATGTGAGTTATAAACTTGTTACAGGATTCCAGGCAACAAATGGCTAGATCTCAACAAAACATGAACTTACGGTTTAGAAAGAAATAGAGATTTGCACCAGATAAAGAGACTTCATATTTGGTTGAAATTGGAGTTGAGAAGTCTGGGATGACTCACGCATTTCTTCCTGGATGATTGTATAATGCCATTAATCAGGTTAGAAAATATTAACGAAGGAGCACATGTGCAAGGCAAAACATATTTGGTTTTGGCTGTGTTAAATACAAGGTTGTTAATATTAATAAATATCCACTTAGGAATATCTACATATTTGCCTATAAAATTCTAAGAAATATACCTATGACAGAGTTACAGATTTGGATGTTATCAAGTAATAAGTTGTTTTTGAAACTGTGGGAGTAGCTGATATTGTCCAAAGAATATAAATCACACATATTAGGCCCTCAATATATAAAAATCATTTTCATTCTTTTCATTATTTCTATTTAAGGACTGGTGAGAAGAATCCAATTGGGATTTTTGTTGTTGCTGTTAAATGATTTTTTACTTTCCCATATTATATCTCTTGACTTACGATTTCAACACTATCTTCTTTCTATTAAACTAGATTTTTCAACAAAGTTTCTAATACTGTAAGAGTCTTTTCAAAATAAACTGTAAATTCCCATGCTGCCCGAATAGTTAGGCATTTCTTTCTTTGAATTCCTAGCAGAAGAGGAGATGGTGGGAAGTATGATGCAATTTCAGGAAGATCCTAAAAATGTCATCTTATTAGGTGATGATTAATGTGAAGTAATATACTTATCAATTATTCACATAGGCCTGGGACATGGGGAAAGGGAGGAGGTTCAACTATTCTAGGTCTCTAAACAAGAGTGTATCTGTTGTCTAAAATGATAATCTTTTCCCTTCTCAATTATTTTAATTCCTCGCCACAAATGTGATATCCTTGACATCATCTAGAAGTGGTTATATATACTGAACAATGAATATCAGATTAATGGCCTTGAATACTGCTTTTGAGTTTCCTGATTCATTTAATCTATTTATAAGTTCTATTTTGCAAAGGAAAAAAAATCTATTACCATCTAAAGTCATATCAATAACTATTAATACTTATCTGTGTGTTTGCATGACATTATGACTAACAGTCTAAAACTATTTCATTCCATTTACTATTTGTGATAGCAAAATAAAACTAGATAGCAGAGTTCCGGGTCAGGCCCTTCTCCCGCCTCCCTCGGCCTCCGCCATGGCGAACAGTGGCGGCGCCGGGGCGGCGGCGCCGGGGCGGCGACGACGGCGGCGAACATGAATGCGGTGAGGGAGACCATGGACGTTCTGCTTGAGATTTCCAGAATTTTGAATACTGGCTTAGATATGGAAACTTTGTCTATTTGTGTACGGCTTTGTGAACAAGGAATTAACCCAGAAGCTTTATCATCGGTTGTTAAGGAGCTTCGCAAGGCTACTGAAGCACTAAAGGCTGCTGAAAATATGACAAGCTGACTTTCTGGAGAAATTCTGATGAGATATGTCAAGCTCTGCAGGAGGATTTGAAGATTGCTTTGTAGTCAAGAATGTACAATGAAATTACTGCATGCATCAGTGTAGAAAAATTTTCCTTTTTATAAGAATTATAAAACCATAGCTTTATAAATCAGTGGAAAGTGGCTTACAGAGGAGATATATTCACATGTTTTACATCACATCTTACTCACTTTTTTTAACAGCTATAATGCTTTGGCATGTTTATGTTCTATTTATGTATTCCTATTATAAGCTGTGATAGCTTAATTTTCTAAGAGTCTTCTATCAGAATTGTGGCACATCTGCTGTGCTGGTGAAAGTATAGTGGAACCCATCAGTAGTGATGTGTGGGTAGTTATGACTGTTGACATTTTCCATTATAAACTTTAATTTTTAATTGTTTATGCAAAAAACTGTGGATTTATGTTGTATTGGGCTGAAAGTTGACAAGGATTTCCACTACCATTGTGAATTTTGATTTAAGTTCATTATTATATCAGAATCTTGTTTTTTAAAAAAGAGCATGGAAAACATTTCTAGTATCTCTCTTTAACAAAAATATTTTTGTTTTTTTAAACAAGTTTGTGGCAGTTAATGGAACCAGATAATTTTTGTATTGATTAAAAATAAACTTTTAGAAACTTAGATTTTAAAGGAAATGACAGTGTTTAGCCTAGCATTACTTATAGTTTGAATCATTTAAATCTAATGAAAATTTAGTCGAGAATTTTTTAAGTTTTATACCTATAAATGAAGACCTAAAAATAATGTATAAGGCGGCGCTGTGGCTCACCCTGTAATCCTAGCTCTTGGGAGGCTGAGGCGGCGGATTGCTCCAGGTCAGGAGTTTCAAAACCAGCCTGAGCAAGAGCGAGACCCGTCTCTACTATAAATAGAAAGAAATAATTGGCCACTGATATATATAAAAAATAGCGGCATGGTGGCGCATGCCTGTAGTCCAGCTACTCGGGAGGCTGAGGCAGAAGATCACTCGAGCCAGGAGTTTGAGGTTGCTGTGAGCTAGGCTGACGCACGGCACTCACTCTAGCCTGGACAACAAAGTGAGACTCTGTCTCAAAAAAAAAAAAAAAAAAAAAAAATAATGTATAAATGAAAAATAGCAACAGCAAAATTCCTGTTTCTTATCACTAATAAAGTAATTTAAGTGCATTACCTGATAAATCTTGAGTGGGTATTTAATAAATCACTAGATAGGAGGTATGTTTCAACAGATATTTAGTATTTTCTGATGAAATAAGGATTTCTAGTCATTAAACAAAAACTAATCTAATGTTCTGTATCAGGAATTACAAGTATGGCTTTTTGAAATAAGTTTATGTGTCCTTTTTTTTTTACCCTTAAAGCTATAACTCATTAAAGTGATGATATAAAATAAAATTTTAATATATTGATTCTGTTCCTATAACAGAATCTCAGTGAAATTTTTATGGCAAGACTTCAGGATTTAATATGATTTTATTGTTTCTTAAATTTTAGATTTTGTTAGATACCATTTAAATGATAGTATAAGCATTCGCTCTTTAGTAGCATTTTTTGTTTTTCAGACAAACTGAAATAGTTTTAATAAGACTTAGTGATACTGGTGTAGAACCTTCTGTGCTATTTTTAAAATGTAGGACTTTGACCATTTTGACTTTTTAAATGAATGACATTTTTGCCAAGTGCACTGCAAGGTCTATTATTGGCAGAACAGGTTTGGAGACACCAAGAACTTATGATAAGTCATTTGATAATAAACACTGCAAATACAGCATATTGTTATTTATAAAATGTTAAAGAGAACTCTTTTGTTAACCTTCAAAATTTGTATATGCTTTTAGGCCATAAGAGTTGATAGTTTTATTTATGAGTTTGTAGATTAAGTTATTTATCTATGAAACAAAACAGGAAAATATATTAAGAAGGGATTATGTTTACAGAAGATGTTTCTTTAATGTGTCACATTTCTTAAATGTAAACATATATTTTTAATGCATACTTAAGTAATATTTAAGAAACCAAACAAAATAATGATACGATTGCAGTGTTGTGCTTGTTGTCAGTGACAATAATAAAACCATTTTGGTGGTAAAAAAATTAAAAATAAAAATAAAAAAATAAAACTAGATAGCAGTCTAGATTACTTGGAAAATAAAAGAAATATTTATTTCTCAAGCCTAGGTTTTTAATTTAATATAAAATAGTGGTTGAATGTTACTGTTTAAAATTATTTTTATTGAAATAATGTGAACACAAAAACAAAACAAAACCAAAAATGTTTACAGTGTCCATTTCTCTGCTACATATCATTTTTATTTTCAAAACACAATTGAAGTTTAACATGTATAATGGAAATAAAAGACAAATACAGATGCTATCTTTAGAAATAATTTCATATTTTTTAAAAAACCTTCAACATATGAAAATAATAATGAGTTTCCACATAAATTCATTCAATATAATAATATTTTAGCTAGGGTTAAAGACCACATCCATGTAAGAAGTTAATTTGTGATTGAAAATATTAGTAAAACACGACTATGCTAAGAAAATGATTGTTCAATTAAAGAACTTCTATGGTAAATCATTAGGTATATCAGTCAAATATTTTTGACTCTTCCCTTCCAGTCCTATGGGAGGACTACACTTTGTGGCCCCTTGGGTTTGGTAAAGTCATGTGGCTGGTTAGAACTAATAAATTGTGAACAGAAATGCTAATCAAATGCCACTTCTGGCCCAGGACATTTAATTATCAGTGTGAGACTATCCAAATAGCTCTTTTTCTGTCTTTTAATGGACAAAGTAAAATTTAAGATGGTGGCAGCTTCCTCATCCTGGGGTCCCTGAGTATTATATTAATATAATAAAGAATTTGGCTAGCCTTTGTTTCTTATTCCTAGAAGGTAGCCTCTAAAACCTTGCAATATCTTGAGTGATAGGAGTGGCTTTGTTATTCACAGTGGGCTTCTCAGACCACACTTAATAGTTTATGTTAATTAAGTGACTAATAGTGGGCCTCTTTGATAGTTTATATTAAGGAGGTGATGCAGGATGGGGGTTGTTCATGCCAGAAAGACCAACCATATGATGATATGGTTAAAGCTTTGAACCATGTGACATCAGCCCATCATCTAGGGAGGGGAGGAGAGATAGAAATTGAATTCAACCTTATGGGCAATGATTCAATCAATCAGGACTATGCAATGAAACCTCAACAAAAGCAGTGAGCAATAAAGCTCAGGTGAGCCTCTTTGGTTAATAATACTCTGTGCTGAGAGGGTGATGCATCCTAACATCACAGGGAGAGGACAACTTTGTGTTTGGGACACTCCCAGACATTGCCTTATGTATCTCTTCTTTCAGCTGGTTCAGATTTGTATCCATTTTTCTATAATAAAACTAGTTTTTTTTTTTCCCCCTGAGTTCTGTGAGTTTTTTTAGTGAATTATTGAATCACAACAGGTAGTGCGAACCTTTAATTTTGAACTAGTTGCTCAGAAGTGTGGGTGGCTCTGGAGTATCCCCAAGTTTGTGGCTAATGCATGAAGTGAAGGCCGTCTTATGGAAAACTGTTGCCTTAAACTGTGAAGTTTGGCATAGCTCTAAGGTAGTTAACATCAGAAGTCCCTGCACTAAGTAACTAGGCTGAGCAGAGCTGCTTTGTTGATCCACAACCGAGCTCTAGTATGAAAAATAAATAAACCTTTTTGCTTTACACAACTAAGATATTGGAGTTCTGTACTACTTTGCTTATTCTGACTTACATTTACGATGCAGACAGAAAACATCTCACAGAAAACATATAGACAGAGCAAGACAGTTATTTTTATTTCAATCACAAACTCATAGTTGCAGTGGTGTTAGAGAGTGCCTGTCTAATACCATACTTACTACTTGAAACCCCTGCGCAATACCCCTGCCAAGTGGCTATCCAACCTCATTTAGAAAATAAACTTAAATGCTCTGAGGTTCATTATCGCTTGAGGCACATCATTCTAATAATGGTTATTCTTTAATACTAGAAAATTCTATCTTTATATCAAGCCAAATCTTCTGCACTACAAATCCTATCATAGGTCCTAGTTCTCTCCTTGTGCATGATCAAAAGCAAGTCTAACCTCTCAACAGTTCACAAATAGAATAAAAAATGGAGATATCTGCACCATGTCATTTATTCATGCAAAGTCCTCAAGTTTATGCTAATGACACTCACATAATGTGGTTTAAAGTCTCATTACCATCTGGTTAGCCTCTTTTGTGTACAGTCTAGCTTTACTATACCCCTCCTGGAATGCAATGCCTAGCATTGAATGGAGTCAGACCATAAAGAAGAGGATGGGTTTCATACGCCAATTTTTTGGCAGTCATATCATAGAGTCCACATATTTTATATGTACTGCCATTAAAGACTCCAGCCATTTCAAGTATACTGCTTTTAAATCATGTTTTCTTATTATTGCTTTATCCATTCTTGTGACTCTTAACAAACATAAGAAAAATGGCAAAGACTTGGGGTCTTAGCAGTAGTTTCAAATCTCTACTCTTGTACTTACTAACTGTATGACTTTGGAAGTAACTTCAACTCACCTCCCTGAAATTTACTCATCTGATATATAAAATAAGGTTAATAATTCTTATGTTACAAGGGTATTTATGTTACAAGGTTGCCTGTATACTAGCTAACACTATGCCAAGCCAAAAACAGTACATAATAAATCATAATTTAAAACCTTGTGATGAATTAAAAACAAAATCAAAAACATTGAAATGAAGAAGAAGAAGAAAATATTTAAACTGTTATAATGGTTAACTTATTTCTTGGCTTTTAATTTCAAAATTAGTCCTGATATAGTGAGAAACCAAATCAAAGCGAGATAGAACAAAAACAAAAACTTGCATGGCCCTCATTACTACAAAGATGGAAGCCCATCAATTTCTAAGGAAAGCCAACATTATGTAGTTTTCCTAATACCATATTCTAAGATTATCTTGCATTGTGAGGTTTTATTTAGAGGTCATAGATCCTCTTTATATCAAATGTCATAATAACCAACACAGGGTTAGCACTTAATAAATATTATTATGTGCTAGGTATTATGTTAAATACTTTATATACGCATTACCACATGTATTAGTTCAAAAGCCCATAACGT